CGCATGCGACGACAGTGAGCGTATCTATCGCCGCTCGAGGTGTCACACGTTGAGGCCATCCGTCTCCCTCGCGGAAGGACCACCGAGACTGCTGTGCTAGCACGGTGGAGGGAATTGTCGCAGGCCCTCTTGATATGTGCTATACGCGTGCTTGTCATGCTGCCTGCATGCCTCAGAGGCAAGGCCCCTGCTCCCCGCCCTCCTCCTCCTCCTCCTCTTCGTCCTCCTCCTCGTCATCGTCTTCTTCTGCTCCTCTTCTTCCTCCATGTTTCTCCTCCTCCTCCTCCTCCTCAGCCTCCTCCTCCCTCCCTCTCCTCGGAAATTGCAGCCGCCGGCCCTGCTCTCCCAACTGGGCTTGCTGCTTGCCTACAAACTCCTGCGACTGTGAATGCCGATGTCGTGCCGCCGCCACCGGCCAACCCTGTTCAGTACACCACTGGGAAATACTACAGTCGACAATTCCTGACAGAACGATACATTGGCATTGCAGCCCAGCCCATAACGAGAGCCGTCAGACGAGTTGAATACTTTGTTCTAAATTGGTTTTGTGGACGGAGGAAGGCGGGGGATGTACAGGCGCAGGTTGAAAGGGCGCATTGCAGCACGGACTATGCGATAGATGTCCTGTCGGTGAATATAGCCATACATGCAGTGGACGGCGATCTCATGAATCGGGACACACTCGCAAAATGGAGGTCTCACATCCTTGCACGACGGATGGTGGTGTCGGGTGGCGGGCCGCCGTGTGAGACCTGGTCTGCTTCTCGATGGGCAGAAGGCCAAGGCCCCCCGCCACTTCGGACGCATGACTCAGTTTGGGGTAAGACGGCAGTTACTGAACGTCAGATGGAACAGCTGTGGGTGGGCAGTGCGCTATACCATGCTAGGCTGGAGCTTTTCGCTGCGCATATGCAGGCTGAGACGTCATGTTGGCTTGAGCACCCCCAGCCGTGCGGCTGGAGGCTCCAAGCCGTCAGCTCGTTTACCTGCCATCTCATGCGTGCTCTCAGTCGTCCCCAACAATCTCGACGACCGAGTGTGATCAGTGTGAACATGGTCAGACGTCAGGGGCCCCCATTCGGATCGTTAAACTTAGACTGCCAGGGCTGCATGCCGCCCTGATTGCGACCCCTGGAAACGGCAGATGCTCGCATGGTAGGGACGGACACGAAACGCTTCTTGGGTATGATAGGGATAGGAAAGAGTGGCGCACAACCAACAGGAAGACGTATCCCGCCGGCCTATGCAAGTGTATCGCTGTTGCCACCGCCGATTCAGTGCGTACCATGTGGGAAGGGGATGTGGACAGTAGTGAGCCCGTTGATCCGGATGACATGGGGAAGGATGATAGATTACGTGGTGGACTACAACGCTTCCTTCTCTCCTGGGATCCCTATTCTGGCACAGACGAGGGATGGGCTCCAGACTTCGTCTCTCGGCGCACACGCCGTGTCCGACACGACCCCGAGCTCGATCGCTTTCGACCGCTACACGCCCCCCCCGTCATCAGAGCAGGTTACCTCTTCCACCTCACAGGTTCGCGATGACATGGCGGAGGCTAGACCTACAGGCCCACCTAAGGCTGATGTGGAGCAGGAGTATGTGAATGCACGTGCTTCTCTTGGTGACTCGCAGAGGGCAACAGATCCTCCCCTCCCGCCCGTCCCCGTGCCGCTAGCACCTGAAGTCTTGAAGCGCATTGCGCAAAACCGCGCGCAGGCACGTGCCAGAAGAGCTGCTAAACTCCAGGAAGCGAGCCAGGCTCGCTTGCTTGAAGTAGCCCCGTGTACCCTTTGATCCTAATTTTGGCAGAGGCTTGTTCGGATAAGTTGCTGCCAGTCATTTATCATGAGAGTTTGGGGGCTGTTGTTCAGTTTTGTGTGGAGAGGTGAAGGTGCAGAATAGAAAGTTGCTGTCGCTCTGTGCCGCCTCTCTCAGCCACCTCTCTCTGTGCCTGCTCGCTCTCTGGTGGCATGCAACACCGGGGGCTCTACGGCATGATGCTTCAGGAGCATGCTGTTGTTGCCTTCTCTGGCCTCGATTGCGATCTCGGTGCTCCTCTCTCCGTTCGGTCTCCAGCTGCCGCCCCAGTTCGAGAGGCTTCGTGCGCCGCCCCAGGCACGGCGAACCTCTCGGGGCGGGCAGCCACGAGCGCCGGCCCGTGCCCGCGCATCGGGCACGCCAGGCCGTTTCACCTCCCCCACTTCCCTTCCTGGCGTTTCAGCTCACCATGGTCGGGGCCGACGGTGGGTTTCGGTATGTTGGGGGGGCGAGGTTCCTCTGCGGTGTTGGAGCCGGTGTTGGCCACAGCTCGGGCGTGCGAGAATCCTGCACTCCCGCTGGCCCCCGCCTCGCACCCGCCCCCACTCGGCTGCCTTTTCGGCCTTTCGCAGGTCATCCCACCTGCTCCCCAAATTGATCAGCCTCCGCTTGCCTCTTGGTGATTCTGTCTCCGTTCGGTCGCTAGCTGCCGCCCCAGTTCGAGAGGTTTCGGGCGCCGTACCAGTTACGGCGAACCTCTCTCGGGGCGGGCAGCCAAGCGTGCCGGCCCTGCCCGCGCATCGGACACGCCAGGCCGTCTTACCTTCCCCACTTCCCTTCCTGCCTGGCGTTCAGCTTACTCTGGTCGGCATTGTGGGTGGGTTTAGGTATGTTGGCGGGAAAGTGGCTCGCACTGCGGCGATGATGCAGGCATGGAACACAAGTCGAGCGTGCGAGAATCGTGCACTCCCGCTGGCCCCTGCCTTGCACCCGCCCACTTAGCTGCCTTTTCGGCCCGTCGCAGGCTATCTCACCTGCTCTCCTCTTTGATCAGCCTCCTCTTGCCTTTTTCCTACTCCTGTTGCGTTGCGATGCGCCTTGAGCGCCTTCCGACGATATGGGGGTGGTACGGGTTAAGTTTGGGTTTGGTCGGGGGGGGGGCATTTACACCTTGGCGCCCGTGCTGCTAGATACCACGTGATTCTGCCACTAGCGAGTGAGTGCCGCACTAAGCTGACCGTCTCCTCGGCGAATCAGAGCGCAATCCAAAAATCCCTCCTACTCCCCCCCCTCTCCTCCTCCTCCTCCTCCTCCTCCTCCTTCTCCTCCACCTCCTTGCCCTCCTCCTCCTCCCTACAGGGCCAGACTTGGGAACCGCCAACTCCCAGGGCCCCAGGTGTGCCGAAGACGTGCCCAGGAGGCCGCGGGCTGCGGGCACGGATATCCGGCGTCTCCGTCAGCGGCGAGGACGAACGCGGGAGGAGGGAGGAAAGTGACAAGGAGGAGGAGGAGGAGGAGGAGGAGGAGGAGGAGGAGGAGGAGAAGGAGGAGGCGGAGGAGGAGGAGAGGGGGGGGAGGGAGGGAGGGAGGGAGGAGGGAGTGGGAGGGAGGATTGGGAGGAAGGGGAGGAGGAGGAGGAGGAGGCGGAGGAGGAGGAGGCGGAAGAGGAGGGGGAGGAGGAGGAGGAAGGAAGGGAGGAGGAGGAGGGAGGAGGAGGGAGAGGAGGGGGAGGAGGGAGGGACGGAGGAGGGCCCTCCCGCTTCCCAGACATGCAGTGCAGCGGCTCGACCTCTGCTCGAGGCACGGGCCCACTGGACCTCTCGACCCCGCAGGGGGTGCCTCTCCGCCCAGGCCGCCTTCTCGGCCGCAGGGTCGAGAGGAAGCGAACGGCCCGATAAATTACTGTCCGTCTCCGTTATCCTCCTCCTTCTCATCCCTCCTCCTCCTCCTCCTCCTCCTCCTCCTCCTCGTCCTCTTCTTCGTCGTCCTCCTCCTCCTCCTCGTCCTTCTCCTCCTCGTCCTCCTCCTCCTCCTCATCGTCCTCCTCCTCCTCCTCATCCTCCTCCTTCTCCTCTTCTGCCTCCTCCACAATTGCACACTATGAATACTACTTTCCCCGCTCCCCGGATGACGTCTGGAAGATGCTCGGCCCCCCTCTGAGTTCTGCTTCTTGCGCACAAGATTCCCAGGAATTGGGTTTTCGCTTGGGTTATTCTCCAAATGTGCTCCCGCTGCAGCGCACTGGCCTCATTTCCTCGCTTCCGCTCGTTCCGAATCCTGCTCCCGCTGCAGCGCTGGCGTCATGATTTCCAGTACCACGCCACGGCATGCCATGCAATGGTATCTGGTGCACCGTTGTGCGATGCCATGCCTTCAGCTGAAATGCCAGGACCTGCAATGCTTGACTACGCAGTGCCACGCCGTGCTATGCCATGCTACGCTTTGATCTTCAACGCCATGCTATGCCATGATCTGTTCTGTGCCGTTGTGCGATGCCACTATTTGCGTTGCAATGCTTTGTGATGCACTTCTTCACGACGCAACGCCACGCCATGCAATGGCATACAACGCTCTGCCGTGCTTTTTCTACGCCCTGCTATGCCGTGATCTACGACGACGCATCGCGTACCCTCTCAGGAACATTGCCCTGCTCGACATCCGACTGTGCGAATAGAGAGGAGATCTACGCCACGGTAAGGCAAGGGTTTGAGGGGAGGGGCAGGCACATAGCTTGTCCTCCTCCCCTCCTCGCCCCCCCAAAACATCCAACGTCACGAAAGAATCGAGACGGACATCTCTCCTCGTTTTCGGCTTCTCCAGGCCCACACTGCATCTCCCCCGAGCCGCCGGCGGGCACTTGCCTGTGGCTGAGCGGCGTTGCGCTCCTGAGTATGGGCGCTCTCGGTCTCATACGGCTGAGGGCCTTTGCGCGGCGTGTCGCGGCGGCGGCCCCGGCGACACCCTGTTGTCCGCGAGCGGAGCGCGTGTCGCTATACTCGTGCGGGGCGGGAGGCTGGGAGAGGCCCGAGACGACGATGTCTGGGGACCAGAATACGGATGGCGTTTAGCGCCGAAGCGTGGTAGGCCAGAACCGGCGGAACCTCCTCCCTCCCCCTCCCCCTCCTTCTCCTCCTCCTCTACTCCTCCTCTTCTCCTTCTCCTCCCACACGCTAAGCCAGAATTCACCACCGTACGTGGGGGGAGCGAAGCAAACATACCGGGTCTTGTGCCGCCACGTCCTGACGGAACGGGCCTCGTCCAGCATGAACATGCTCTCGTCCACCTTCCTGTCGACGCAGAACCAGAGGTACTTCTGGTCCCACTGAGATAGAATCTCGCCTTCCAGCCACACCTGCGGCGGCGAGGCGATCCGATCCAATCACGGCATGGCCGGGCACGTGCAGCAGGGGACGGCATACGGGCTGGGTTGTCCATGAGATAAGGGTACTGGAGATTCTGGAGATGGCGGAGGATGAAATTCAGACGGGCGAACATGAAAAATCCCAGGCCTCGTCGGCCACTGATCAGAGGAAGCGGACAGGGCACTGGAAGCGCTGTCCTGGGCCATCTGCCGGCACGCTCGAGCGCCGGCCTCCCTGCGCGAGTCTGCGCCCGTGCCTCCAGAAGTTGTTTGTCGTTCGACGGGGTCCGGCACAGAACTTGAGCCGCCGAGTGGCGGAAGATTTCCAAGGACTTTTCCTTTGGACGAAAGCTCCCCGCTGCGGGCTGTTGCAAAGCATCGCTGATCGAACAGCGCGCGACTGCCACCGCGGATGGCTCTTGGCGGCGTCACGATCGCTCGGCTGCGTGCGCCCAGACACGGGCCTACGTGTTGCCCGCTTGCTTGCCTGCATCCTCGCGCGGAAGCTCTTTACCCTACTGTCGGAATACCACGTGGTGTGAGGTGCGGGCATCTGGTCAGCACGCGCAGAGCACCCTCCTACTCCCTCCCCCTCTCCCTCACCCAGCCCGCTCCGCGCCCGCCGCCCTCTCTTCCTCCTCGTCCTAGTCCTTCTCCTTGTAATCCTCCTCGTCGTTATCATCACTTATCCTCCTTCTCCTCGTCCGTACCCTCGTTCCCCATGATCCCCATGCCGCTATTTTGCGCCCAACTCCATCGCAGTCAGGCAGTCTCCTGACCCCAGCAGGAGAGAAAAGAAGGAGGGCAAACGCAAAGAACAATCGAATCCAATGCCTCCCCGCACCTACGAGACAAAACCAGTTTGGATCGAAGTGGCTGCAGAAGAAAGGTTCCCACATACAGGGCGCGGTTGGAAGAAGGAGGGCAGAGAAAAAGGAGGAGAATAATAATAGGAACGAAGGGAAGAAGAGGGACGAACAGAGCGCACGTAGCTGAACGGCCAGGAAGGGACGGTAAAGAAGGAGGGGAGAAAGAGGAGGAGGAGGAGGAGAACCGAGCCCACAGAGCTAAAGGAGGAGAAAAGGAGGAGGATGAGGAGAAGCATCAGGAGTGGGACGGTGAGCGATCATCGAACGCCATCTTGCGACTGCTGCGCTGTGGGGAAGTCGCGCGAAAAACGAGGCCGAAGAGTGTACCGCACACCTCTTGCCCATGCCCCTGGGCGGGCACGACCCTTGCTCTGTGCCCCTCTCGCCCGCCCCTCGCCCACGCGAAGCCCTCCAAAGGGCGACCAGGACGGCGGGCACGCACGCGGAGCGCCACCAGCCAGGGCGACGGTCGCCGTATTTTTTGTTGTGGCCGCGCCCCGGCGAGCGCCTCGCCCGCCCGCTACATACATCCCCTCTCACCGGTTGGCCGTTCTCGCCTCCCCCCGCCTCCTTGGTGCTCACGCGCCGTACCGCAGCACTGCCTAGGCCCTCCCGCGCTGAGCGATCGACACCGCCGCTCTCAAAAAGTGTGTTGGTGGCCAGGGGCGCGCTCCTGAACTCTGGAGCCCCGGCCCTTGCCAGCACGGCCCCGGAAGAAGACACGGCTTGACTGCATGAGCAACGGCGTCGCTCTGCAGTGCGCAGGGGTGTTGACCGCCGCGCCAAACCGCGCCGCAGACCCTGCCCTTGCGACTGCAAGCTCTTCCACACATTCCGCTTGCGAAGAGGAGACGGACGATGAGTATGCGACCTACAGTCTGCGACCTACGTGCATCCCTATAGAATCCCACGTGCATCCCCATGGAATCCTACGTATATCCCTGTGGAATCCTACGTGCACCCCTATGGAATCCTTCGTGTTTCCCTATTGAATCCTACGTGAATCCCTGTGGACTACGTATCCCTATGGAATCCTGCGTGTATCCATACGGAATCCTACGTGCATCCCTATGGAATCCTACGTGTACTCCTATAGGGACCTGCGTGACTCCCCATGAAATCCCCTGTGTATCCCTATAAGATCCTGCATGCACCCCCATAGGATCCTGTACGCGCGCGCTGCGCGCGCGCTTTGGTTCAAGCAAGATGCGGCGACGGTCTAGGGTTCGCAGCATCGGAGCGCAGAAAGACTTCTATCAATCATGATCAATCAGCAAACCGCACCATCCCTCTATGCCCCCACGGATGCACGCCATGAGCCCCAGTCGACCTTAATCCTGCATTCTCCTCTCAGCAAACCCTCTCAATCCCTTCCCTTTCCACACCCTTTTTGGCGGACCAATGGAATCACATTCCACGCGGCAGAGGAGCTGTTGCGGGCGCGGTGGACGAATTCCACTCGGCATGCAACGCGAAAAAAAATGTGCGTTGTCGACGCGGTGGACGTGTTCCACTCGGCGTGCAACCATGAAACATACAGCTGGCCGCAGGTCGAAAAAGGATTCCGCATGATCCCACTTCAGCTGCCTACATACCCTTTGTTTCATTCCCAGGGGGGCGCCTCGAGAAAACAACTCACACACGCACAGCAGCAGCTCGTGTGTCCACCGGGGGGAGGAGGGGGGCCGGGCCCCAATGCCTAATCAACCCGGTTCAAGCAGCCGCTTTAAGCACCCAAGATCTGGTCTTTGGGGAGGAGGGAGCGGGGGCCCGCGCCGATCGGCGAAACAAGACATAAGAAACAGCTACGTACCTCTCAAGACGGCTCAATGGGCCCGATTTCGGCACACCCATCACGCACTCTACGCCTATCCAAGGCCTAGACGACCCAGAGCGTCCAAGGCCCACCTCGAGCAAACCCAATGTCACCTGCCCAATGCCTGCCCACGAACCCCCAGGCCTGTCCAAGGTCAGCCCGACGGCCTATCCAATGCCTGCCTCAGGCTTACCTGGTGGCCTTTCAAGAGCTGATACACGGCCTACCCAGAACCCAGCGAAGGCCCGCACACGACCTAGCCAAGGCTCATCACAGATTTGCCACGTCCAAGATCTACACATATTGTACGTCTAGCGAACCACATGCGAGCGCCATAACGAATGTGAACACCCAAATGCGCGCGATCACCGTGCCCGCGCTCGTCTTACAACCGCGACGAAAATCTTTACAACGATGGGCTGTCGTGAAGGGTTCTATGGTGCGCCCACCTTCGTCGTGCAACCACCGCGCAAAATTTGCCAACACTGGGCCACCCTGAAGGTTTGAACGGTACGCGCCAAAAAAAATCGGCAACGAAATAATCGATCCGACGGTCACCCCAGTACCGCGGCGACTGCCGGGACTGTTCCGAGTATTCGCTTCCTTCGTGGCGGCCCTGAAAAAAAAAGCACAGCCACCTCAAAAAGCCAGCGTCTCGCGTGAGACATCCCTGAATGCTGACCGCAAGTGGGCAAATGTCCCACCCCGTGGTCGCTCCCCATTGTGGCGCCCAGCAACGTTTGTTGCGACATCGCGAACACCACGCGGCCCTGAAAAAGACGCGCCTACATCCGTGAAAAAAGCGAACCGCTGAAGACATCCCCACAATCTGGGCACGAACCGGGAAGTGTTCTAATTATCCCTGGCGGCACCCCCTTGTGTTGCCCTAGTGCGAGGCCTGTCACATCGCGATAATTCTGATCGTGATATGGAAAAGGAGGGAGGAGGAGGAGGAGGAGGGAGTGAGTAGACGGAGGCGTGACACGGATAACAAGAATTCACGACGCGAAACACGGACATAAACACGCAACATGTTCCACGAGACGTGCAACTGCCTGCACAATGATCCGTTATCACCGTCGCACCGTTGATCCGCACGCGTTCGACGGAAACTGGCGGCAAAAAAACTTGCCCAATCTGCCAGGGCATCGCTCGTGGGGGGAGGGTCTCCTCGCCTCGGGCTGCTCTCCCGCAGCCGCGCCCCGCCGTCGACGGCGAACGCGCGCCTTGTGGGTGCCGTGACCGTCCTGGGCGGCCGCCGCAGGCCCGAACGTGCATTTGATTCGCCCATGTCGTCCAGCCCGCCCATCTGAACCAAGAAAGCCGGTTTCTGCTGAGACATTCTCACGATTCGCTCTTAAACTTAAGCTGGCCACGGCGTGCAGGTGACGCTGGCGGTGTGCTGCCCGCGCCGAGGCGAGAGCGACGGTTGGACGGACTTTCGGCCATTGTACGGCTCGGCCCGCATAGTACGCTATGTTATCAATGCGAGGCTAAGCTATGCGGTGTGATGCGATGCGATACTATTTCTGTGCGATGCGATGCTATGCTCTGCTGCGCCATACTGTGGCATGCAATGATATGCTAGTGTATGCGACGCGATGCGATGCGATGCTATGACATGCTATGCGATGCTATGCGATGCTATCCCATGCTACGCGGTGCTCGTCTATGCTGTGTTGTGCGACGCTATGCGATGCTATGCTATGCTCTGCTGTGCGACGCAAGGCTATGTTGTAGCTCCAGTTGGTTCCCCTTCCTCACCCCCACCACCACACACACAACCTCTTTATCACCCGAAGGGTGGTCGTACATGTAGGTATGCACTGGCAGGATCTCGCGGCCAGAGACACAACCGCCTCGCGCACACTTGCCTGGAGCGGGGAGGGATGGGGAGGAACGGGGGCGATCTGGGAGGAGCGGGGAGGGGTGCAGAGTGAGGTGTCTTGTGGGCCTCTTGGACTGTCTCAGAGCGCTCTGGGATCCACAGGCGCCTACGGAGGTCGTCTTGGAGGGCTCTGTGGGACGTTTTGGGGCGATCCTGGGGGCTTCTTGGACCGTCTTGCAGGCCTTATTGGGATGTCTTGCGGCGCTATTGGGGTTCTCTGAGGCCGTCGTGGACGCTATTAATACAAAGCGCATATGCCCAAAATAAACGCTTCCCAAAGGAATTAGGGCGATGTGTGTTCCTTGCGGCCCTCATAAGTGTCCTCTTGAAGCCCTCTTCAAGCGCTTGGGGGGGCCTCTCGGGCCGTCTTGAAGCCATCATGGGCGTCTTGACGCACTCTTGGACCGTCTCGGAAGCC